AGGAGGAGGAGGAGGAGGAGGAGGGGGAAGCGGAGGAGGAGGAGGAGGAGGAGGAGGAGGAGGAGGAGGAGGAGGAGGAGGAGGAGGAGGAGGAGGAGGAGGAGGAGGAGGAGGAGGAGGAGGGAGGGGCTTACCAGGTGCACCGTCCACTCGTTTTTTTGACGTTTTGCCCAACGTGGTGGAGGTGGGTTTGATTAGGCGGGGTCGGGGCGGACTGCAGCACCGACCAGCATCGGCACCTCTCTCTCTGACTGCTCAAACACAGCAACACACGTTTGTTTGACCTTCAGGGTAGCAGCCCAATAATTACGTCATCTGCAAGCACCGTCCACTTGCTTCTTAGACGCCTGACGCTAACATGCCTGCATCACAGCCAGCCTCGATCAATCCTAGGGGACGCGGGGAGTTGGGGAGGAGGTGTGGAGGCGAATCGGAAGTGATACTCAACTGCACGCACAGTTGGCACACAGGGGGGAATCCAAAGCCACTCTGGTGGCAACAGTGACGGGGGCACCCCCTCTACGAACTGGAACGGTGAAGTGGTCTCCCCCCGAGGAGCCGAAAAGAACACGTGTAGACGCCCAATATTGGTTGTTTTACTTTGCTTTTGTGCCTGCGCGTAATGCTTACAAGCCAGCCTGCCCAGGCCAGCCTTCATTATGCCCAGCTCATATTACTATGACAGCCGACTCCCGCAGGCTACTCTGGACGACGTGCATATTTTCACAGGCCAGCCTACCCCCTACCCAGGCCAGCCTAGCAGGCTCAGCTTTTATCTTACGCCGCACGTCTTCAATTCCCTCTTGAAGGCTCCAGCGCAGCAGCATGTTTACCTTTCGGGTAGCAGCCCAAGAATTGCACACTAGGCAGCACCGTTCACTTGCTCTTCGGACGCCTGACTCTAATGCGGGGGTGGGTGTTTCGAGGCGATGGGGAGGTGGTGAAGGACTGCAGCACCGACCAGCTTAGGTCACCTTCTTTCTCTGCCTGCCCCTGCACAGAAGCATACCTAACCTTTATAAGGGTAGCAGCCCAAGGATTGCACATACCGGGCAGGTACCTGCTCGCTTTCTGATTTGTGCAGGCCTGACGCTAACTTGGTCACGTCATGCGCAGCATACTGTCAGCATTACTGCCCCAGCTCAGCAGCACACTTTCATATCTAGATTACGCCTCACCTCCTCACCTCTCTCTCTTTGACGGTTCCAGTGCAGCAATACATTTCTCACCTTTAGAGCAGCAGCCCAAGACTTGTACACTAGGCAGTCACCGTTCACTTGTTCTTTGGACGTCTGACTCTAACGTGGTGGAGGCTTGGGGTTGGGAATCTGCGGAGGTGGGGGTTGGTAGTGGAAGACTGCAGCACCGACCAGCTTCGGTCACCTTCTTTCTTTGCCTGCTACAGCACAGCAGCACGTCTTTAACCTTTAAGGGTAGCAGCCCAAGGATTGCACATACTAGGCAGGCACCTGCTCACTTGCAGCTCTTGTACGCCTGACGCTAAAATGATCAGCATGCGCAGCATACTGTCAGCATGCCGCACAGGCCAGCCAATACTGTGCCGGTCTTATGACTGTTCTCACCCTGCGTACCGCAGGCATGGTACACGAACCCTTACTTGGTAGCGGGGGGGGGTATTGGCGGGAACTCTGGGCAGCAACCCTAAAGGTGCATGATTTCAGTTTCGCACCTTAACTTGCCGAGGCGACACTCACCATTAACCAAGGAGTTCTTTACTGGTCAGGGTATTCTTAATGGAAGGAGGAGGTGTCTATCCACTAAGGTGTGTGTCGTCCGCTACCTGGCGGGCGCCTATTCTATTGTTTTTTATTGGACTCTTGTTCCCTCATGTTCCGCGGCGCCCCGCCAGGTATAGTGACCCGAATCGGTTCGACTCTTTCTTTGTTCAGCACCTGCAAGAACGCGAAAGCCTAGTTTCTCACGTTGTCGAACGTTAAAAAGAGGTGGTGGAGGAGGAGGAGGACGAGGAGGAGGACGAGGAGGAGGAAGAGGAGGAGGAGGAGGGGGCGGCGGGAGGGGGCGGGGAGGTGGGCGGGGGGGGAGATGGGCCAGGGGCCTCATGCTCGCACGTGTGGGGAGGAGGGAGGTGAGGAGGAGGAGGAGGAGGAGGAGGAGGAGGAGGCGGAGAAGGACAAGAGCAGGGGGAGGAGGAGGGAGGAGGGAGGGAGGAGGGGGGAGAAGGGGGAGGAGGGGGAGGAGGGTCTTCGAGGTCCACGGGGCCGCCTGGGGGTGGGGCGGTGGTTTCTTCTGCCCTGCAGCGGCGGCCCCTGGGCCGCCTCCGCGCGGCGCGGCCCCGGAGGTCGGCGAGGTCCCCCCGCCTGCGGCGAGCGGGAAGGTGCGCGCCCTGTCCCAGCAGGCGTGGCCGGAGTCGCCCGGCCTGGTTCTCTCCGCGCCGCATGCTTGGGCCCCTCGCCGCCTCCTCCTCCTCCTCACCTCCTCTCTCCTCCTCCTCATCCTCCTTCCTCCTCCCTCCTTCCTCCTACTCCTCATCACCTCCTTCCCCGCCTCTCATACTTCCTCCTTCATCCTCCTCCTACTCCTCACTCTCCTCCTCGTCCTCTCCTCCTCACGCTCTTCTCCTCCGTCCTCCTTCTCCTTCATGCTGATCCCACCTCCTCCTCCTCCTTTCCCTGATCCTCCACCTTCCCGCCTCAATATCCTCATGCCTCCTTCGGCCTGATCCTCCTTCCTACCTGTCTCTGCTCATTCCTCCTCCACCCTCCTCCTCTCACCTCCTCCTCGCGCCTCTCTCCGCCTTTCCTCCCTCCTCCTCCTGCTCCTCCTTCTTCCTCCTCCTTCCTCTTCCTCCCACCTCCTCCCCCCACCTCCTCTTCCTCCTCCTCCTCATGCTCTAAGGCTCTTTGGTTCAGCCTTGCCTGTTCCGTTGCCCCAGGCTTGCACGTGCTGCCAACCCGCCCCTTGTTTCATGCTTCTGGACTGGCATGACTTGTATGTCTTTCCTCCTCCGATGTCCTTTCTCCTTCGCCTCCTCCGATTCATTCTGCGCAGAAGAAGTATCTTCATGGAGATCAGCGTTGGTATGCAATTCAATGCCACTTTGTGGACCCGTATCTGAGATCCGATGCTTTGCTCTGAAATGCTCCGATATGCAACGCTGGACTACGAAAGGCCAGACCATGCTATATCGCCCAGTGCTATGCCATGGCATGTCATGCAAGGACAGTGTATGTACCGCTATGCGATGCCATGCCTTGCGCGACAGCGCTATGATATGCAATGGTTGACTACGCATTGCTACACCATGGTATGCCATGCCACGCTCTGTCGTACTTTCCTACGCCACGCTATGCCATGTACCATGCTATACCATTCAATGCATCGCGTGCCCTTTAAGAATCGTTCTCCTCTTCGATATCCGACTGCGCGAATACAGAGGATTTACGCAATGCACAAGGCGGCCCATGAGGGGAAATTATACCCCCGCCGAAGAGGCCTTGGCTGAGATTCCCAACGTTTCGGCCCAAACAGGCCCACCAGATCAAGACACTGTGGTCCATGGAATGCCCGCACACACATCGGACTCGACCCCGCAGCAACCTGGTCCTTCGGGAATGCTGCAACCTAGTGCAGCTAAGGTGCTGATGAAGATTTTGTATGGGGCTCGGATGGCTGGGTATGACCTGTTGCGTGCTGTATGCCAAGCCGCTAGCTGCGTGACTAAGCGCCCCTAACGTCGCCACGTGCGCGACCCCCGTTCTAGGAAATCCGCAGGGACGACGGATCATGTTTACGTGTCCTCCTCCTCTTCCTCCTCCTCCTCCTCCTCCTCCTCCGCCTGGTCCTCGCGATCCATCGTCAGCTGCAGGTGTCACCGTTCCCGTCTCCTCCCTCGCAGCGATGCGAGCAACTGTGGCGGGCACGGCATCAAGAGAAGCAGGAGGCCGCGGGGTCTTTCGCTGCGGTCGTTGGCGACTCTTCTTCGTGCAGGCTCCCCGTGCTCCTAAGGAGGAGGAGGAGGAGAAGGGAGGAGAAGGGAGGAGAAGGAGGAGGAGGAACCTTCTCCCGTTTTCTCCGTCTCCTCTGTCTCCTCCTCCTTCTCCGTTTGCCCATCTTGGCATCCATTTGCAGAGGGGTCCACAGACGTGGCCCCACTACCGTGTATATACACATATCCACATCGGCCGATGCCGTAAGGCTACCGCTGCTGCTGCAGACTGGGTGGCAAAGGAACAGTGGGTCTCAAGCGTCCTTGTCTCGCCTTGTTATCCTTCTGATCCTCTGCCTCCTACTATTCCTGTCCTTCCTCGTCCTGCTCATCCTGCCTCCTCGTCCAGCTCCTCGTCCTCCATCATGGGGAGTTGTTTTCCGATCCCTCGCTCGAGCGAAAGAGCCGCGCCAGGTCCGGTCGGCTCTTCCTGCCTCTACCAATGCGGACTGTCCGATAGGGGGGCCAGGGGGCGTGATGTTTCTAGCCCCGCTGGCACGTTCCCTTGTGCTTTGTCGCACCTGGTGCCCCGAGGTTTTTGGAAATTTAGCTACGCGGCACCAGTTCGAAATTCTCCATCCCCCATTTGCTGCTCCCGTTCGCTACTTCCCCCCATCTCGTCCTCTCGCAGTACTCCCCCCGCGACTTGCCGTTGTTCTTCTCCCCTCGTGCTTCTCTGTTGTGTACCCACGCGACGCTCGTCATTCGAACGGCTTTCTTACATGACAGTGTTTCATCCTTTTCTTATCTCTCTCTCTCTCTCGCTCTCTTTCTTCCTCTCTCTCCTTCTCTCAGTGTCTGTCTGTCTGTCTGTCTGTCTGTCTGTCTGTCTGTCTGTCTGTCTGTCTGTCTGTCTGTCTGTCTCTCTCTCTCTCTCTGTCTGTCTGCCTGCTTGTCTTTTCCTATTTCTCTTTCACCTTCTCTCTGTCTCTCTCTCTCTCTCTCTGCCTGCCTCTCTCTCTCTCTCTCTCTCTCTCTCTCTCTCTTCTCCGATAGCAACAGCTCTCATGGTGGCGTGCTATTTTTAGACCCTCGAGCGCCTCGAGCATCTTTTCGATGCTTTCGCACTCCCGCAATACATTGCCGTCCCACAGACATTCTGTCTCATCTACCTCGGTGTTCTGATCCAGCCATTGCCACTGACAAGAAGTTCCCTCCCGAGGGAATGTCTGAATCAGTAACTCGTGACTGTTGTGGGACGCTTCCTTGTCGGAGGGGGGAGGGGGAGGGTGCCTTGCGAGGAGCAAGGGGAGAGTTGAACATGTGCCAGAACTCCATGTTTTGCCACCATTACTCCTCGCATCAGCTGCAAGCAGGTTATATCCTTCCACGGAGAATGCACCACAAAGTGCCCCAGCCACGACGCCGTGACCGTGGAGCGCCTCAAGGAGGCGGCCGGGCAGGGTGTGGCGCCAGCCCGGGCCAGGCAGAGGCATCAGAAAGGGAGGAATTAGTCGTCGTTATGACGCCGAGCCTCGTCCGACTGGTTCTTCTCGGGCGGGGCTGGGACCAGGATGCCTCGCTCCAGAGCCTTCCAGAACGCCCTCAGAGCGTGCTGGAGCTCTCTGGAACGGCTGCGTGGGCCGACGTGTTCTTCAGAGCCGCCGGATCTCAGAGACCCCCGACGGCTGCCTGTCCGATCGTGTGCCGGCCCTGGCTTCGTCTGGGGCCAGGCAGCAGAGCGGGACGATCGGGGCGCACGAAAGGGCAGGCAGGACAGGGAAGGAGGGGGTACACGTTGTTCATGTCTCATTCTTCGAGAAAGTTCTTTGATCGTTTGGGGAGGCAAGATCCTTTCATTTATATTTCTTCTATCCTGGGCCTGTTCCTGGCCACTAGGGGGCCAGAACAATTAGAGACGCAGCACGGTTAGATACGAGCTCGATTAGAAATGCACGACGGGTGACGAGACATGCTGCATTGCAGCGGTGTCACGCGCCGCCGGGCCCATCCTCGACAACATAGGGGCGCCTCCGGCGCGGGAGCGCTTCCCGCGGAGCCAGCTATGCGCGAGCTGCTTCTCTTTGCTTCTACCCTTTCGCCCCCCCCCCCCCCCCCCCCCCCGAGCCCAGACATGATCACGTCGTAGAAACATCAGGACGGGCGTTTTTTCTCGATTTTCGGCCCCGGTGGGCCCTCGCCGGGCCTAGGGACCGTCAAAAAAACAACCCAGGACGAAAAACCGGTCCCGGGGAAAGGGTCGGGACTTCCAGGGGCGCCGTCCTGAAAGAATCAGGGCGTCGCATGTCTGGGTCCCGATCTCCGCCGGTCGCCGTCTGTCTCTGCCTCGCCCGTGTGTTCACCACGGCGCCTGGGGCTTTTGGCGCTCGCGGCGCCGAGAGGCAGCATGCATGTGTGCCTCTTCCTTCGCCCAGTCCCTGCTCATCGCCCCGCTCCCCCCTCCTCTCGCACTCACCCAGGCCTCCGTTTGACTCACGGGCCCCCTCTCGCCCTCCCCTCCTCGCCCCTCTTTTCCACCTCCTTCGCCTCCACCTCCTAGCCCTCCTCGTTCTCCTCCGCCCCCTCCTCCTCCTTCTCCTCCTTCTCCTCCTCCTCCTCCTCCTCCTCACCATCTCCCTTCTCCGCACAGTCGTGGCGGCGTGGTCACCAGGTTTGTCCCCCCCCCCTGTCCATCCGTCCTTCATCCCCTCTCTTCCATCACTCGTCTCTTATTTTCCTCGGTTTCCTCCCCGTCCTCTGCAACGCTAGATGTGCTTGCGTCTTGCTTTCTTGCGGACGTCATGGGCGAGTCCAGTATGAGCGAAATTCCATTGGAGTTACCAGTTATGTTGGGATAACTACGCAGAGCTAGCAAGGGCGGTGTCCAATATGTGATGTTTGTTTGTGTGTTGTGGGGTCCCCTGCTGCCGTTGTATTGTGTCGCTGCTTCCTCTTGTGGGAGTTGCCCGTCATCCGTCATCTCCGCATATTCGGTATTCCTGGCCTTGATTTGCCCAAAGTCTCTCTCGTATCAAACCGTTCCCATACCGATAACCGCTACCCTCATCCGCCGCACCACGATCCTGCATGTGCCAGGTTTCTCCCTTGTGCTTGATCTTGGTGTTTGCCCGTTCTAGACTTCAGTGTGTGCAGTCTGGTGCTAATATTGTCTTCATCTTGAGTTTACCCAGCCCGAAGCTTATAGCTGTGGTAGCACTCCGTTCGCTCATTTGTCCACGGCCACCTTTCTGATCGGCTTCGCCTGGCTGGCCGGGGTAGGGGAAGGAGGAATCAGATTCTTGGCGGGCTGCCTCCACCCTGGGGTGGTCCAAGTGCGCCTGCGCAGACCGCTGGGCAGTGCAGCTCGTGCAGTCGAGCCAGGGCCCTCAAGAGTCTCCAAACAACATCTCGAGGCCCAGGCGGGCAGACCAGCACGAGTGACCCTAGGATTCCCCCCCCAGGAGCCGAGCTCAGGGACGATTGTTTGACGAGGAGAAGATGGCGGAGTGGGATGGGAACATGTTAAGAATGCTGGATCAACAAAACAACGCGAGAGCGCGAGAGTCAAGGGCGTGCCACAAGAGCGACACCTGCTCGGTCGTGAGCTGGCAGGTGTCCGCTGAAGGGAGGCCGCGGACCGACGGGTTGCAGAAGGGGGTGGCGATGAGGAGGGATGTCAGTCACATCAAGCGGACTAAAAAAAGAGGGAGGCGCGGGGCGGAGGATGGGGAGCAGGAGGAAGAAGGAGAGGAGAGGAGGATGAGCACCCATAGCCTAGAGCGACAATGCCACTCAAGAAGCGCCCTAGATCCTGCTTAAGTCTTCCCCTCCTCCCTCTCTTCTCTCGCCCCCCCCCCCCCCCTCCCAGGGAAGGAGGGGGAAACAGAGATGTGCAAAAAGGGTACGGAAACGAGGTGGAGCAGCGGGAGGATGAAACAAGATGAGGGGATGAGTAGGAGGGGAAAGAGGAAGAGAGGAGGAGTAGGAGGAGGAGGAGGAGGAACGTGGAGAGGAGGAGGAGAATGTTAAAGGGGAGGGATGATGCAAGGAGGAAAGAGGAGGAGGAAGGAGAGGCTGAGGAGGAGGAGGAGAGGAGGAGGGGAGGAGACAGTGGAGGATGAGGGAGGAGGAGGAGGAGGAGGGAGGAGGAGGAGGAGGAGGGGCGGGAGGCCGTCGAGAGCGCGCTGGAGAGCTGGCAGAGCGGCGCGCCGGTGCGCATCCGCTCGGCAGAGGCGCGGCGGCGTTTCGGCCACAGAAGGGTGGCCCGGGCAGGCCCTGGGGCACAGCCCCAAGAAAGGATCGTCGCCATGGAGGCTTTCCCAGACCCTCCTCCTCCTCCTCCTCCTCCTTCTCCTCCTCCTCCTCCTCCTCCTCCTCCTCCTCCTTGGTCGTGTCGAGCGGCCGCGCGAGCGCCGGGTCGTGGCCCAAAAGCCAGCGCCTCCTCCTTGGTCCCCCCGTGGCCCCCAAGAGCCGCGTACCAAAGGTCACTCTTCCCCAGGGTCACTCTCACGTGGGGCCGACAGACATCAGGAGGGGAAAAAACACACAGACACAATTAATCGTCCACTCCCAGGAAAAGATGGGAAAATATGGGAAGTGGGGGGGAAGACAAAAAAAACGAAAATATGGGAAAATATGGGGGATATTTTTATTTGTGTGTATTTGTTTGTGTGTCCCAGTTCCCCTTCAAGACAGGGCCTCGCCTTCGAGGATCGAAGGGCCCTGAGATCCTGGCGCGCCCTCTCTTCGAGCAGGGCGATTTTTCGCCCCGCTACGGGCCCCGGGGAGCCTGCCAGACCGCTCGAACGAAGGATTGCAAAAAAACCTTCGAACGAAGGATTGCAATCGCTCGAACGAAGGATTGGAAAAAACCCTTCGAAGGTTTTTTTGCAATCCTACGAAGGTTTTTTTTGCAATCCTACGAAGGTTTTTTGGCAATCCTTCGAACGAAGGATTGCAATCCTGGGTTTTTTTGCAATCGCTCGAAAGATGGCGCAGACGGGTTGGGTCGAGGGCTCCGGTCGTGATTTCTGGCGATGTTGCGATTTAAAACGTCGGGTCTCTCGGGTCGGGCGAAAGGGGGGGATAGCAAAGGGGGG